AGAAAGAAAGAAAGAAAGAAAGAAAGAAAGAAAGAAAGAAAGAAAGAAAGAAAGAATAGATAATGATAGATAGAGTTAGTTGATAGATGATAGCTAGGGAATAGAGGTAGACAGAGGGGGAGAGAGAGTTTGAATGGACCTTGGAGGTCTTCTAGTTCAATCCCCTGTTCAAGCAGGATAATTTACACCATTTCAGACAAATGACCGTCCAATCTCTTCCAATCTCTTGTGGTTGCTAAGATAGATACTAGTCGTTGCTAACTCATGATGTGACATGATATTCTTTCTTCATATTTTTATATTTATATATCAGGATATATATCTTTGCCTGTATCATGCTTCTTTTCTTTCCACTTCCTTTGAGTTCTCTGTTTCTCTTCGTTTCCTTTTTTAATTACAGTTTTTATTTTATTTTAATATAAATAATCCATTAAACAGTGTGCCATCTGGGTACAAATATTTTGTGCAAATAATTAAAATTTACAATCATATTCATTATTTAATCTATTCCTAGCTTAATTCCAATACCTTAAATGTCTAATAACAATCCTCATCATGGTATATTTAACTCTATTGATTATGTTAACTCTATTGGTACATTTTTTATATTTTACACAACTCCTTTTACTTCTAATTCTTGTATTTATTCTCTAACCATCAATAAAATGATTCCCGTATAGTGTAATAACCAGTTTGTTCCTTCTCTTTAATTGCCAGTGTTAATCTGTTCATTTCTGCACATTTTAATATTTTCCTGATCACTTTCTCCTCTGTAAGTATCTCTTCATTTTTCCTGTTTCTCCATCTTCCTTCAAAAATATCAGGATACGTATCTTGTGAACCATTTTTCTTTTGGCTCTGCTTTTTTTAAGGTAAGGAAGATGCTCTGCAGTTTTTTCCCCCTAGTTTTGAGGGCAAAATTTTGTTATATTTCTCATTAGAGAGAGGCAAGACAATTATTTAAGCTGCATTTTTTATACTTGATGTGATTCATGCTGACATTGAAACAATTTCTCCTCCACAGCTGGAATTGTCCTTTTTTTCTGTTTAACTTTGTCCAGTGGTCACTCAGTATTGAGGGGGGGGGGAATGATCTACAATTGAGCCAAGAGAAAACAGATTATCTAAATTGCTTTTTTAATAAGGATTAGTCCATAGGACTATCAATTAATGAGGATTTCGGAACTTTAACAAAAGAATTAAGGGTCCAGATGGACTTGGAATTATATTTTTTTAATTAATTAGAAGAATCTTTCTGTTTAAAATGGCAATTGGTAGAGAAGGGGAGACTGTTATGAATGTGAGAATGAGATATCAAAGACTTGACACTAGAGGGAGATAGAAGATAATCAAGCCTTATATTATAATAATTATAAATTCTAATAAATCCTTAATACCAATTGAGGCAAATGGTTGTCCAACCTCTCCTTGAAAACCTCCAGTGTTGGAGCACCCACAACTTCTGGAGGCAACTGATTCATTTTCTCACTGTCAGGAAACTTCTCCTTAGTTCTAAGTTGCTTCTCTCCTTGATTAGTTTCCACCCATTGCTTCTTGTTCTGCCCTCAGGTGCCTTGGAGAATAGTCTGACTCCCTCTTCTTTATGTGGCAGGGATAGAAAGAGAAAGAATAGAATAGAATATGGAATGGAGTGGAATAGAATAGAATAGAATATTAGAATAGAATATGGAATGGAATATGGAATGGAATATGGAATGGAGTGGAATAGAATAGAATAGAATAATAGAATAGAATATGGAATGGAATATGGAATGGAATATGGAATGGAGTGGAATAGAATAGAATAGAAATACTTTATTGGCCAAGTGTGATTGGACACACAAGGAATGTGTCTTTGGTGCAGATGTTCTCAGTGTACCTAAGGAGAATAAAATACATTTATCAAGAATAAAAAGATACAA